CTCCTTGTCCCCAGGTGTCCTTTCCCAGGTGCAGCTGCAGGAGGTGGGCCCAGGACTGGTGCAGCCCTCACAGGCCCTGTCTCTCACCTGCATAGCCTCTGGATTCTCTTTAACCAGCTATCATATGAACTGGGCCCGGCAAGCCCCAGGAAAAGGGCTAGAGTGGGTAGGTGTGATATGGGGTGATGGAAACACAAATTATAACCCAACATTGGCATCCCGACTCAGCATCATCAGGGACACTTCCAAGAGCCAAGTTTATTTAAAGCTGAACTCTGTGACTGAGAAAGACACGGCCATGTATTACTGTGCGAGACACACAGTGAGGAGAAGTCACTGGGATCTCAGACACAAACATCCCTCCAGGGAGGCCAAAAGAGAGCTGGGCTGCAGGGGGTGCTCAGGACCACACTGCTCAGGGAGGCAAACCAGGGCAGGTGCAGGGGGAGGGGAAGGGTGGGTTTCTGTTAGACTGTGGTTTCCTCTTCCTGGACGGGAATTCCTCTGGAGACCCTCCACTGCTTCTTCCTCTGTGAGTGTGCTGTTTTTCTTCACTTTCAGAATAGATATATGACTTTTCGTTTAATCCAGAAGCCTTCTTATTATTGTTATTATTATTTCATATAGATGGGCCTGTATACTGAGCTCAAACTAAAAACAAACAAACTCATTGCCATCGAGTGACCCTCACTCACAGTGACCCTCATTGGATTCCCAAGGCTGTCAGTCTTTACAGAAGCAGACTGACTTTTGTTCCTTCTGTGGAGATACTTGTGGGTTTAAGCACAGACCCTTCATTTAGCAGCCAAATGTCTTAAGCACTACCCCAGCCCTTATATACCACAAGTGTATAGTTATGCTAATAGCAGCTATATTATATATATATATATATATATATATATATATATATATATATACACTAATATATACACATGTAATATAGATACATAATGACATAACATGCTATTAGCATATATAGGAGATCTGGTGGCTTAGTGCCTAAGGCATTTTACTGTTAACCAGAAGGCTAGTGGTTCAAATCCAACAGCTACTCCTTGGAAGGAATATTGAGCGATCTGCTTCCATAGAGACACCATTTTGAAAATCCATGGGGAGGTTTCTATGAGTCAAATTAACTCAAGAGCAATGACTTTATTAGCATATATATACACACTAATAACATATATATCTATAACTAATCTATATCTGTATACATACTAATATATACATACACACACTTCTATGTTGTTGTTGTTTCCTGTTTAGTCAATGCAACTCATAGTGACACTATGGGACTAACTAGAACCACACGATACATTGTGCCTGTCTATGTCTTTATACGAGAAGATGGGCAGTTCTTTTTCCCATGGAGTAACTCATGGCTTTTAACTCCTCACCTTTCAATTAGCTACCAAGGACTTGAAAATTGTGCCAGTGCTTTATCTAACATCTCTCTGTCTCTCTGCCTATCATCTATCTGTCTATCTGTCTATCTGTCTATCTATCTATATATCTACCTATCTCTATGTGAATGTTGTGGGCTTTCACAGGTGAGTTTTGCCTGACTAATCATGGTTCCCGCAGATCATTATGTATCCATGGGGTCTGTAATGATTCCAGATAATAAATATCCTGACTCCAAAAAGAGAGATGCTTAGTATGATAACTAATGAACATATGTTAGTAAATCTGAGCAAAAATGTGGCCAAAAAGATACAGCAAAGTATGGTTTATAAAACTGCTAGTGCATGGTGAGCATGAATTTTTCAACAATTAGGAACATTTCCATGAAAAAGAATCATCATTCTATGGAAATAATCATAGTAATAAAAATCACCTCTGAGTTAACAGAGATCAGCAGACTACACTGTGAGAGAGCAGGAGAAACAAGGCCTTCAGATAAATGGTAAACAATATGATTTTAATGAAAATCCACCAACCAGCATGAACATTAATATTAATAGATAATGGAGTAACTAGGTGAAGAGTGCTGACCCACTAAGCAGAAGGCTGGAGATATGAACCCACCCAGCAGTTGCTTGGGGAACTTGATTGAAGATCCGTGTGGTGGTTAAGGTTACGTGTCATCTTGGCTGGGCCTGGTTTGGAGTAGCTGGGCAGCTGGTTGTAGCTCTTTCCCATGATGAGACTGGCAATCATCTCCATGGTGGAATCTGCCACGAGCATCTGTGTAGCTGCTCTAGGGCTTTGGTCTCCTTCCAGTTTACAAGGAGAAGTTTTGGGACTGTTTTTTGGCATGCTTGGATTCTGCATGTAGTGAACTCTTCATTTAGCATCCCACCATGTCTCCTGCCAATATTAGGGAAGTCTCTGGACTTGAACTACCGGCCTGCTCTGTTGTGTGGTAATATTGGGACTGTAATTTTTTGCTTGACACTTTGGGTTTGCCAGCCTCCACAGCCCCCAGCTGCCTGAGTTAAGGGAAGCCTCCAGCTTCAGTTGGCTGGGAGCAAAGGTCAGAGCTGAAACCTAAGGGTGAGGGGCTTTCATCCAGCCCCTAGATCTTGGAACTTTTAATTCAGACTTCTAGGCTCCAAAACGATAAGAGAATCAACTCCTGTTTCTTAAAGCCACCCATGTCCGGTATTTTGTTAGAGGAGCATGAAGTAATCAAATGATCTGCTTCTGAAAATTCAAAGCTTTGAAAACCCTGTGGAGTGGTTCTACTCTGTCCACACGGTGTCTCTGTTGAGTCCAAATATGAGTTGGAATAGACTAGATAGCAAGTTATAAGATACTCTTTGCTCAGCATGGGGATTGAATAAGTATAGTGAAAGGATAAAACCCTGACACACTCTCTTCCTGATTTTAAATCATGCAGTATCCCCTGTTCTGTTCAAATGACAGCCTCCTGTTCTGTGCATAGGTTCTTCATGAGCACTATTAAGTGTTCTGGAAGTCCCATTCTTTTCAGTACTATCCATAATCCGTTATAATCCACACAATCAAATGCTTTTGCCTAGTCAATAAAACACAAGCAAACATCTTTGTGGCATTCTCTGATTTCAGCCACGATCCTTCTGACATCAGCCATTATATCCCTTATTCAACAT